ACCCCCAGCTCCACCAGCATTTTATAGAATCACAGAATAACAGACTTGGAAGGGACCTGGGAGGTCATCTAGTCCAAGCCCCTGCTCGAACAAGAGACTGTATACCATTTCAGACAGATGGTTGCCCTATCTCTTCTTGAAAGCCTCCAGTGTTGTAGCATTCACGATTTCTGGAGGCAAGCAGTTCCACGGGTTAATTGTTCTCACTCTTAGGAAGTTTTTCCTGAGTTCCAGGTTTCTTCACTCCTGGATGAGTTTCCGTCCACTGCTTCCCCTTTGAGAACAGACTGACCCACCCCCCCACCCCCTTCTTTGGGGCAGCTCCTCCGGGTATTGGAAGGCTGCCCCAAGGTCCCTTCCAACTCTGTCATTCTGTAAAACAATTACAGAATTGGTTTAATTATTAAATTGGTGTTTTGATCCGGTCTGATTGTGCCGCACCTTTGTTTAGTACTTCTATCGCTTGTAGTTTTATTGTAGCGTTGCATTGTTTTGTGGTAGCGCTGTGCATGTTTTATTTGTTTTTAGGTTCTGCGGATGGTACCAAGCTGGCATGCTATATAGTAAGCTACCTGGAGAGATTCAGGGGCTGCCCAGGCTTGAACACTAGGGGGGAAAAATCAGTTTGGGCAAAAAAGAGGGGAAAAGAGAACGAGGAAGGATGGAAAAAAGTAATCCGACAGCCTCGATTTAGCAAAGGAAGCGCAACTGGGGATGAAGGAAAAGCCGCTTGAAACATCTTGGGGAAAAAAGAAAAGAGTTTTGTCAAGTAAAATAGTGAAGGAATTCCCAAAAGAACGGACAAACCTCTCCCGCCTCTTCAACGAGAGCTGCGTTTTGCAAAGAAAAGACTCATTCTGAACCGTTTCAAGCATTTATTTCCATTTTTCAAAAAAAACGCGTTACAAATATCTACCCCATTTCCCTACTGCATGCAACCCGCTTTCCCTAAACGCATCTCTTCGGCATGCTGCAATATTTCCCCTTTCTGCCTGGGTTCCGAGTTCAAATTAGAATCTGCACCACGATTTAGAAAGCCTGGATCTGAACCTAGCTGGACAACTGGAGAATTACCCACATTTTCTGCAGAAATGATTTTTCTTGGGCCGGATATCTGAGGTCTGGTGTTTCTGAATCATCCCCTAAAGCGGTTGAGGTTGAGGTGGTTTGTTGATGCCGCTGTGGGTGTTGACATTGTATATTACCTTAATATCTATCCTCACGCCTTTCCTCCTCCTCAATTTCCTCCTCAATTTCATCGAACATTCCAGCTGTTCCTTGAGAGGGAGAAAAGCCCTGCAGGGAAGGTCGGAGGTGATTTTAGGAGTTTAAAACCAAAAGTCATTCATTAGGGGACTAGATTTGAGAAATGCAGATTAAAAAAATGGCACAGCCAAGAAGGGGCTGCCACTAAGAAGAAGGGGGTCGGCCTTTCCCTCAAAGCCCCTGAGGGCAGGCCAAGAAGCAATGGAATCCAGGAGAGAAGCAATCTGGAACTAAGGAGAAATTTCCTAACAGTGAGGACAATTAACCAGTGGAACAGCTTGCCACCAGAAGTTGTGGATGCTCCACGCCGGAGGCTTTCAAGAAGAGGCTGGAGAGCGACTTGTCTCCAATGGTATCGGTTCTCCTGCAGGGGGTTGGGCTAAACTAAAGGACCTCTAAGGTCCCTTCCGCTCTCTTCCCATTGATTGATTGAGAAGGTTTGGGAACTGCAGAAAAGGAGATTCTGTCGATTTCAGGGCTGGGGGGAACGGCAGACGTGACTTGACGTGAACCCCTAAACTTCCAGAAACTTCAGGAACAGGAAGTGCAGCAAGGAGAAACACCTTGGGCGTAATCTTGGGCAAAGGTGATCTGTCTTTCCTCTCCTGTAGCCTCTCGGACTGAGGGGGTTCCCTCTCTCCTCTTCTCCTTCCCCTCCCTCCCCAAAGTCCCAGAACGGAGGGAGGCGTTTGAGTCTTGGGGGGGGGGGACTCTCTGCAGAACCCCGAAGAAGCTGGAGGAGAATCTTCTAGGGCTTTCCAATGAGGTTCTCAGCATATCTCCACAGCAGGTGGGTTATTGGTTCAGGAGGGAAGCTTGGGAGAGACCACTTTCATCGGGGGTCTCTTCTCCAAAGCCTATGACAAATGGAGGGCCTCAAGTGAGGTGGGGTCTCTCCTACTTGGCCAATGGTTCAACCTCCCTCCTGGGTCTGGAGGTCATCCCCAGAAGTCCCAGACACCATACCACGTTCTTACCTCCTCCTCCTCCTCCTCCTGGTTCTCCTTCTCCTCCACCTCTTCTTCTTCCTCCTCTATCCCTTCCACGGCTTTACAGTTGAGAACAGCCACGGGTGGCTTCTCCCCAAGGAAATAGGTGGCCGTGCATTCTCTGACCACCTGTAGAGGAACAAGAACATGCTGAGAGTGAAGCCACCTCCCAGAAGTGATTCCATGGAGGCCCCCATCTTCTTTTTCCGTAGGAGAGATCCTGGGTCAGACCCCAATGTTGCTTCACCCAAGTCCTTCCAGGGCAATGTTGGACAAACGAAACTGCATCAACCTCTCCATTTACACTTGGGGTAAAAGAAACAACTGTTGTAGGATTCAACGGTTGAGTCCTTTCTCTATCCATGGATCTTGGTCAAGGAATTGACTTGAAGAACCAATCCTCAGGTAATTCCCCAGTGCGCTGAGAGGTTTGGAGGATAAGTACATAGTCCCCTTGAGGCCCACCTGTTGATTACAAGATCTCCAAGGTCCCTTCCAACTCTGTCATTCCGTACAGGTAGTCCTCATTTAGTGACCAAAGGGAAACGGCACTGAAAAATGTGACTGATGACCGTTTTCCACAGTGATGACCATTGCAGCCTCCCCGTGGTCACGTGATTAAAATCCAGATGTTTGGCAACTGGTTTGTATTTATGAGGGTCGCAGTGTCCCGGTTGCAGTGTCCCCTTTTGCGACCTTCGGACCAGCAAAGTCCATGGGGTTCACTTAACAACCAGGCTACTGGCAGAGTTTTACTTCTCCGCTTTGTCAGGAGGAGTCATCCAACGGGGACGAATAAAATGTCCCCCTTAGCCACAGAACTATCGGGGTCGTAAGTCGAGAAATATTCTGAACGTGTCCTGTTTTCCGTCCCGACTGTTGGGGAACCAGCCCTGACCAAAGGTGGCCTTTCTCGTCCCCTCCAGGATCAGCCCAGACGGGTGAAGAGGTTCCTCAGAGTTTTCCAAAAGCTAAAGAAAGGCATTCGGAAGTTGTTCAAGAAAGAGAAGATGGTTACCTCTTGACCTCTTAAGAGAAGATTCAGAAGGACCCCCGATCCGGTGGGGAAAAGAGCGGGAATCTCCACGGAAAAAGGGGGACGATCTTTCCCCAACTTCCCCCTCTTAGACCTACATCAGACACCGAGATGCGTCAAGGGTCGTCTAAATCCAAATTTGTGACGGAATTAAAGTCTGAATCAAGGTTGGGAAGGCTAAGATTGCTGCATGCAGAAGAAACCCGTTTAGGGGAAATAGCGGAGAAATTGCAAAAAAATGTTTTTTTTAGGCAGCTTCTGTTTTAGCAACAAGTTAATAAATGATGAAACAAGGCAGAGCAAGGTTGATTCTTGCAAAATACGGTTCCTATCAAGAGGGAAACGAGTTTTTTACGACACTTGTGGGGATTCCTTCTTGATTTCTCTGGGTGAAATTTGGGGTTTATAGTTTATTTTCCAACATAGTCTTCCTTCATCTCCCTTTTATTTCCTTTATTATATTTAATCTCCGTTGGAGGTTCACTTTTCTTGTCCTTCCTCCTTTCCTTTTCTCCTCCTCTGCTCAAATTCTGGCTTTGATTCTCATTCTGATTTATTCTGATTTATTTTTAATTTGATTTGTTTTAACTTTAACTCTTATTTTTATTAAATGGATTCTGAGGAGAATTTCCCCCCAGTTTCAAGACCAGGCAGTACTTAGCAACTCTCACTAGGTGAAATAAGGAGAAAACAACTAATTCACAGGTGGTTCTCGACTTACAACCATAATTTCCATCGCTAAGAGAGTTTTGCCCTATTTGATGTCCTCCCTTGCCACCGTTGTTAAGTGAATCATCACTGTAGTTACACAGTTGTTAAATGAATCTGGCTTCCTGTCTGTCAGGTGATCGCAAAAGGGGATCACGTGACTCCGAGACATTGCGACTGTCATAAATATGAATCAGCTGCCAAGCACCTGAAATTTTGTTCACGTAACTACGGGGATGGTGCAAGGTTCATAAGCGTGAAAATGATCCCCTTTTCTTCAGTGCCGTTGTAACTTCGAACGGTCATGAAATCAACGGTCATAAATCGAGGACCCCTGATCTAGTCGAAGCCCCCCCCCAGCCCCTCCCTGAAGTCCCCCAGCCTGGAAATGCCCAAGATTGAGAAACCTTGATCTGGAAACCTGCCAGAAGAAATGTTAACTTTTAAGACAGCAGAAAAAAAATGCCCAAACGCTGCTTCTCTGGGCCCCATTCTCCAAAAAGGGAGTGTCTCCTTTTCAGGAAGGACCTGGGAGAATTCGGTGGGTGGGGGGGGAACCCCATGTCCCCTCCCAACGAGGAGAGGACCTGCCCA